GATTCGGATTTATTCGGCGATCGAATACAATTTATTTATTCGAAGGATTTATTGGGTGATCGAATAAAATAATCATGTTATTTTCAGTTGCCCACATCGAAGGCCTTATTAATATCTGCCTGCAGTTTTTCAGTGTCTTCTACAGTGTAAATTTTCATGCTGATTTTTGTATCATCCGCAAAGGATGACACGAAGCTGTGACTGACACGAATAGTTGACTCAATTGTGAGTCGAGGGCGTGGCCCACTGTGCCATAGGACCCACAGTTAAGCAACAAGTCTTAATTTACTGTGACGAATGCATATGGAACATTTTTCTTTGGTCAAGTTAGTATGCATGTGGTATAATTCATTGTATTACTGTATATTCACCAATAGAAAATCCACACTTTACATTGCACCACTTAAGTTTTCCATAATTTGGATCTAATGGTCTATTACTGTTTGAATTCCATTGTGCTTTTTGTATTTGAATTTGAATTTAACAGTTAGGTATAACGGCCATCGACCTGTAAAAGGTCATTATTATTATGATGGGATTCAAGCCCGTTAGACCAGCGTTGGAAGGTTGATTCGACCCTTTTTTATTGTCAGACAAAATTGTCAATTTTCTCGTCCGGAGAATTGAAAACGGATGTATTAGCCTATGTCTACCCGACTGATGGCCTCCCAAAGGGTGATGTGGGAATGATTGCGTGTGTCTCCAGTGTGTATACTCACCTAGTTGTGCTTGCGGGGGTTTAGCTCTGGCTCTTTCGTCCCGTGTGTGTGTGTGTGCTCACCTATTTGTACTCACCTATTTGTGCTTGCGGGGGTTGAGCTTTGGCTCTTTGGTCCCGCCTCTCAACTGTGGAGAGGCGGGACAAACACACACAACTGTGTGTGTGTGTGTGTGTGTTAGAAAGGACCCCGCCTTTCTAACCAATTTATTTATCCTCTATTATGTCCATTATGTCTACTACATATATTTCAGAACCTCTGAAGAGGTGAGGGGGGGAACCCACAACCAGCAACCCAGTAACACCAGAGGGGAGGGCAACTCCACCACCCTCCTCTGCATTGGAACCTCCCCTACCCCAAACCTTCCCTGCCCCCACTCAAATGCTCAGCCAACTCTCCCTCTCCCCTCACCCCAGTATCCTCTGAGACCCTGTTGTCCACCTCACAAATCCTAACACCCATGGAACAGCTTCTCCCATCAGCAGAACGCTCACCAAGAAGGGGATATGAGAAGGGACAGAAGAAAGTGAGCCTCAAGGCAATGGACACTAACATAGATGGGATTACAAATAAAGCAAATGAACTTGGAGAATGGGTACTAAAAGAAAAACAGACATAATAGCACTCACAGAAACAAAGCTAACGAAAACCATAACAAATGCAGTGTTCTCACAGGACTACTGTGTTGTGAGGAAAGAGAGAGAAGGAAGAGGAGGTGGTGGTGTATCTCTGCTGGCAAGAAAAGGGTGGTGTTTTGAGATGGTTATTCAGGGCTGTGAAAGTTTCAGTGACTACATAACAGGTACTATAGCAACTGGAGGACAAAAAATTATAGTCGTAGTCATATATAACACACCACCAAATGACAGAGGACCCAGACAGGAATATGATAGAAACAACATGGCCATCATTAATATAATAGAGAGAGCAGCAGCTGTCACTAGCAGGAATGGATCTGGACTACTAATTATGGAAGACTTCAACCACGGGAAGATAGATTGGGTGAACAGAGACCCACATGGAGGGCCGGACACATGGAGAGCTAAGCTGCTGGACGCGGCAACAAGAAACTTTCGAAGCCAACACATCAAGAGACCGACAAGAATGAGAGGGGAAGATGAACCAGCCATGCTTGGTCTGATATTTACCCTAAATGTGTGGGATATAAAGGAAATTAAGTTGAAAGCGCCCTTGGGAATGAGTGATCACAGTGTATTGATCTTTGAGTACCTGGTAGAGCTAGGATTTATCTCCCCCCGAAAAGAACTAGGAAACAAAAGGCTGGCTTACCGAAAGGGAAATTATGAGGAGATGAGAAGTTTCCTAAGGAATATACCATGTGACACAGACCTTAGAGCTAAGTCTGTACAAGACATGATGGACTATATCACCCAAAAGTGTCAGGAGGCAGTAAAGAGGTTCATCCCGGTCCATAAGGAAAAATTTGAGAAGCCAAAGAAGAATCCATGGTTTAATAGGGCATGTATGGAAGCAAAGGAACAGAACAAATGGGCGTGGAGGAACTTCCGAAATAACAGAACACCAGAAAGCAGAGAGAGATACCAGAGAACCAGGAATGAGTATGTTAGTGTGAGAAGAGAAGCAAAGAAAAATTATGAAAATTATATAGCAAGCAAAGCCAAGACCAAACCAAAGCTACTCCACAGTCACATCAGGAGGAAAACAACAGTGAAAAAACAGGTAATGAAACTTACAACAGGTGAGGACAGTTATACAAAGAATGACAAAGACTTGAGTATGATGAACTCAACAAGGGATTCCAGGAGGTCTTCACAATAGAACAAGGCGAGGTCACTGCGCTAGGAGAGGGGACAGTAAACCAGGCGGCCTTGAAAGGGTTCGAAATTACGAGAGATGAGACCAAGAGACACCTATTGGATCTGGATGTGAGAAAGGCTGTTGGTCCAGATGGGATCTCACCATGGGTATTGAAAGAGTGTGCAGAGGCACTTTGCTTGCCACTTTCCATAGTGTATAGTAGGTCACTGGAGATATACAAAAAGGGTGACAGACAAGAGGCACTGAATTACAGGCCAGTGTCCTTGACTTGTATACCATGCAAAGTGATGGAGAAGATCGTGAGAAAAAACCTAGTAACACATCTGGAGAGAAAGGACTTCGTGACAAATCTCCAACATGGGTTCAGGGAGGGTAAATCTTGCCTTACAGGCTTAATGAAATTCTACGACCAGGTGACAAAGATTAATTAAGCAAGAAAGTGTGGGCAAGTGTGGCTGGGCGGACTGCATTTTCTTGGATCGTCGGAATGCCTTTGACAGTACCCCATAAGAGGCTGGTACATAAGCTGAAGTGACAGGCAGGAGTGACTGGTAAGATGCTCCAGTGGATAAGGGAGTACCTAAGCAATAGGAAGTAAAGAGTTACAGTGAGGGGGTGAGACCTCAGATTGGCGTGAAGTCACCAGTGGAGTCTCACAGGGCTCTGTACTTGATCCTATCCTGTTTCTGATTTACGTAAATGATCTCCCAGAGGGTATAGACTCATTCCTCTCAATGTTTGCTGACGATGCCAAAATTATGAGAAGGATTAAGACATAGGAGGACTTCTTGAGGCTTCAAGAAGACCTAGACAAATTGAAGGAATGGTCGAACAAGTGGTTGTTAGAGTTTAACCCAAGCAAGTGTAATGTAATGAAGATAGGCGTAGGGAGCAGGTGACCAGATACAAGGTATCATTTGGGAGATGAAATTCTTAAAGAATCAGAGAGAGAGAGAGACTTGAGGGTTGATATCACGGCAGACCTGTCCCCTGCAGCCCATATCAAGAGGATAACATCAGCGACATACACCAGGTTGACCAACATAAGAACGGCATTTAGAAACTTGTGTAAAGAATCATTCAGAACTTTGTATGCCCCATATGTCAGACCAATCCTAGAGTATGCAGCTCCAGCATGGAGTCCATATCTAGTCAAGCATAAGATTAAACTGGAGAAGGTTCAACGGTTTGCCACCAGACTAGTACCCGAGCTGAGAGGTATGAGCTACGAGGAGAGACTACGGGAGTTTAACCTCACGTCGCCGGAAGACAGAAGAGTTAGGGGGGACATGATCACCACATACAAGGTTCTTAAAGGAATGGATAGGGTAGATAAGGACATGCTATTTAAAATAAGGGGTACACGCACTAGGGGACACAGGTGGAAACTGAGTGCCCAAATGAGCCACAGAGATATTAGAAATAACTTTTTTAGTGTCAGAGTGGTTGACAAATGGAATGCATTAGGAAGTGATGTGGTGGAGGCTGACTCCATACACTGTTTCAAGTGTAGATATGATAGAGCCCAATAGGCTCAGGAATTACGACCGCACATTTGACGCTTGTCACATCGTGAGAACGAGGTGGCGTCAAAGAAGGATGATTTGTGTTGACAGTAATTCATTACATTCAGTGTGAATCTTGAACAAATTTCAGGGGGGAGGGGTAACACCCTTTAATTATGAAGGTGTCATGGCACGCCTGCACGGCTATGTATAGGTGATTGTTATGAAGGTGTCATGGCACGCCTGCACGGCTATGTATAGGTGATTGTTGACATTGTTGCCTTGCAGCAACTCTGCTGCTTCATGTCAAAACCTATTAAATGTGCATAATCATGTACATGTGTTTTTTTACACTGACAACACAGCTTTACGGGCTAGTCATGCCCGTGCCTCCTTAGTGAGTTATCTTGAGGTTATCTTGATGATTTCGAGCTTATCGTCCTCGTGGCCCAGTCCTCGACCAGTCCTCCTTTTTGCTACACACTCCCAGGAAGCAACCCGTAGCAGCTGCCTAACTCCCAGGTATCTATTTACTGCTAGGTAACAGGGGCATCAGGCTGAAAGAAACAGCCCATTTGTTTCCGCCTCCACCGGGGATTGAACCCGGAACCTCAGGACTACGAATCCAAAGCGCTTTCCCCTCAGCTGTCAGGCCGCGTCGGTGGCCTAATCTTCATCATGAGCCGTGCTTGATGACTGATTAGGGACCGATATACCTTATGGAGACAACAAGGTCATTCTCTGACATAACTGTAATGCAAAATCAAACTATGAATACATCATGTGATAGGTTATCTTGGTGGTGCTCTCCTGGGGTGCCAGGCAGTTTATCATCCGGGTGTGTGGTCCTTGTTATAATCGTGACAACATTAATACAGTATCTGATTAGTTATTTCCAGTAGTGGTCTCATAAAGTACTAGAGTGTGCAGAGTAAAAATGGGATCAGAATGGCCAGGACAAATTAAACAGAACTCGTCACGAAAGACAATAGAGCGAGGCACTAGAGTCACTAGAGGCACTAGAGTCACTAGAGGCACTAGAGGCACTAGAGTCACTAGAGGCACTAGAGGCACTAGAGTCACTAGAGGCACTAGAGTCACTAGAGGCACTAGAGTCACTAGAGGCACTAGAGGCACTAGAGTCACTAGAGGCACTAGAGGCACTAGAGTCACTAGAGGCACTAGAGTCACTAGAGGCACTAGAGGCACTAGAGTCACTAGAGGCACTAGAGGCACTAGAGGCACTAGAGGCACTAGAGTCACTAGAGGCACTAGAGGCACTAGAGTCACTAGAGGCACTAGAGGCACTAGAGGCACTAGAGTCACTAGAGGCACTAGAGGCACTAGAGGCACTAGAGTCACTAGAGGCACTAGAAGCACTAGAGTCACTAGAGGCACTAGAGTCAGTACATAATACACCAGAGGCGGGAGAGCAGTTAGTGAAGAGCGACACAGCGGCAGAAGTACCAACTAAAGCTGTTGCACAGCCATGAGCGGATAAAAATATAAGTAAGAGATCACGTGATCAAGCTTTGGAAACAAAAAGAACATTTTCACAGACAGTGACAAGGCGTGTGATTAACTCCTCAAGAAGTTCCAGGAGGTGTACGAAACAGCCCGAGAGTAGGAGGGAAGGGAGGGACTTCTCAGGGGAAAGCTCCAAGCCATTACACTTAGATGGGGTCAGGATAAGGATTTGGGATGGGACGGGAGGATGGAATGGTGCCTAACCTCCTGGACGGATCGAGAGTGAGAGACATCGGTCAGCCGTAAACAACATTAGACAATCACTGTTGAGGGGAGGGGGGGGGGGGTGTGAAAAGTGCAAACTAGACTAAACAAAAGAATTACGGAGAGACCAGAGATCACCAAGGCGGCTCAAGAAGGCCACATATACTTTCTTACACTCTACCTAATATATATAATAAAATGCTGAAGAATGTTACTCAGGATAAGTAGTGTTTACATTATTAGTTTAGTATCCATCATAGTGGTGTTCCATTATAGTGGTGTTACATTATAGTGGTGTTACAATTTAAATTGTAACACCACTATAATGGAACACCACTATGATGGATACTAAACTAATAATGTAAACACTACTTATCCTGAGTAACACTTCCCCATCGGTTGCACTTGGGTAACACTGTTATGAGCTGACATATGATGGTTACACCGGAACTAAAAAGATACACTGTCAACAAGGAAATGCTAACACAGGATGAAATACGCTGCCACCATCTGCCTTTGACCATTGAGACTATATCAAGCAACGAGGCAAGAAACATTGCTTGACTTGGAGAGTACTTTCTATGACTGTCATTAATTATGAAAACGGTTGTCAGCCACTATATCCAAAAAGGCTAAGAGGATTCAACAATTGACACAGACGGGAAATTTAACATGAGTTTATTGAGACCAAAATTATGTCAATCACCACTTATAAATCCTACTCTAACACTGGCAAAAATTTAAGAAATTTGGACATGGAACAAAACCTCAGAGATCACACACATTACCTTAAGACCTCTGTCTCTCTCTCTGTCACCTCCCGATGTTCTCCACAGCCTTCTCTGGACCCTGGTGTCTGGCACTCTGTTCTTAAATCTCTACAGGACCAATATATATACCCCAAAAGGGGGGAGGGGAGATTTACTGTTGCTACCTAGATCAGAAATGCTAAGGGGGTCGGGCCACATGTGCACAAACACTTAAACAAATTTTTCAATAAGCTTGTTTGACATTCACCATACACTCTTCAAGAGAGGAGTTATTAATTACTTGTGTAACTGACCTCTGACCTGGCCAAAAGGGGGAGATCCATGGATGTTTACACATAAGAATCTGGGGTCTAATTCCCTTGCAATGTTTGACAAGAATATCATGAAATATTACATACTTGAAACTATGCTGACTAAGACTAACCCAGGAATTTTCTTTAATCAACATACAAGATAAGCCAGAGGTCATCTGGGCTGACCTCTTGGAGAAGGCTTCCCTGAGTGAGAACTGTAAGGGGGAGGGGGGTCATGGGTGTTACACTAGACTCAACATATATGTGATGTTAGCTCCTCACAAAGGGCTGGTGTACTAGATAGTGATATAAGTGAGAAAACTGTAAATACATTGAATTGAGTAACAGAGTTCCCGTCGGGCAGAAAACAAAGTAACCCCCAAGTGAGGTACTCGAAGATTAGATTACTGTTCCTATTCCGTGTAAATAAGCTCAAGGAAGTGAGCGCGTGCATAGCTGTCGCTTCCCATTCTCATTCTGACCTATAACTAGCTCCTTAACTCTGTTTCTCACTCTGTCGCTATTGTATTCGTTCTCTGCTCTCCTGTTTCTATTTCTCTATTGTTTTCATTTTTCCTTTCTTCACGCTTCAGACTCCTCTTCCTCTCCTCCCTCTTCCTGCCACCTTCCCTACGGGTTTCCCGCCTTCACAGCCTTTAAGGATCCTTCACTGTCATTCCCCTTTACAGTCTCACTTTTTGTCCCTCCATCGAACTGCTATTCTAATTCTCTTACACTTTCTACCTCTTCCTCTCCCTCTCCTTCTTTCTCCCACTCCCTCTCTCCCCTCGAGTCCGTCTTCAGACCAAATCTATTACGAAGAGAAACCACACCCGCCCTCAAACCACCTGGATAGTTATCTAGATATTTTGATGGTCAGAAAGCATATTATAGTAATATATATTAATAAATGTAGTAATAGTCTACATGTAAACTACCAAATGAACCTTTCTCATAAACAGATTATTCTCAAGTTATAACTTTATTGTAATATAAATCGTTGCTTTAAAATATAAAAATTGTATGGTGAAAACGTTTTCTTTGAAAAATTTGGTTTCATGTAAACGGAATTTGTGGGCACATTCAAACAGTTTTCTAATTCCATATTTCACATTATCGCCAATAACACGCAACCAAATATAATGAAACCTAACCTAACATATCCAAACCTTAACCTAAACCTAAACATGGATAGAGTAGATAATAGCACTAATTATGTAGTCGTTACCAACCCTTGAGTTGAACTCCCTGAGGACAGGTCCCCCCCCCGTCCCTTCATCCCCCCCCCCTTCTCCCGCTCGCTGGACCAGGCGCTTCAAACAATGCCACCATAACACCTCTGGTCCCTTCATCCCCCCCCCTTCTCCCGCTCGCTGGACCAGGCGCTTCAAACAATGCCACCATAACACCTCTGGTCCCTTCATCCCCCCCCCCTTCTCCCGCTCGCTGGACCAGGCGCTTCAAACAATGCCACCATAACACCTCTGGTCCCTTCATCCCCCCCCCCTTCTCCCGCTCGCTGGACCAGGCGCTTCAAACAATGCCACCATAACACCTCTGGTCCCTTCATCCCCCCCCCCCTTCTCCCGCTCGCTGGACCAGGCGCTTCAAACAATGCCACCATAACACCTCTGGTCCCTTCATCCCCCCCCCCTTCTCCCGCTCGCTGGACCAGGCGCCTCAAACAATGCCACCATAACACCTCTGGTCCCTTCATCCCCCCCCTTCTCCCGCTCGCTGGACCAGGCGCTTCAAACAATGCCACCATAACACCTCTGGTCCCTTCATCCCCCCCCCCCTTCTCCCGCTCGCTGGACCAGGCGCTTCAAACAATGCCACCATAACACCTCTGGTCCCTTCATCCCCCCCCCTTCTCCCGCTCGCTGGACCAGGCGCTTCAAACAATGCCACCATAACACCTCTGGTCCCTTCATCCCCCCCCCCCTTCTCCCGCTCGCTGGACCAGGCGCTTCAAACAATGCCACCATAACACCTCTGGTCCCTTCATCCCCCCCCCTTCTCCCGCTCGCTGGACCAGGCGCTTCAAACAATGCCACCATAACACCTCTGGTCCCTTCATCCCCCCCCCCCTTCTCCCGCTCGCTGGACCAGGCGCTTCAAACAATGCCACCATAACACCTCTGGTCCCTTCATCCCCCCCCTTCTCCCGCTCGCTGGACCAGGTGCTTCAAACAATGCCACCATAACACCTCTGGTCCCTTCATCCCCCCCCCTTCTCCCGCTCGCTGGACCAGGCGCCTCAAACAATGCCACCATAACACCTCTGGTCCCTTCATCCCCCCCCCCTTCTCCCGCTCGCTGGACCAGGCGCTTCAAACAATGCCACCATAACACCTCTGGTCCCTTCATCCCCCCCCCTTCTCCCGCTCGCTGGACCAGGCGCTTCAAACAATGCCACCATAACACCTCTGGTCCCTTCATCCCCCCCCCTTCTCCCGCTCGCTGGACCAGGCGCTTCAAACAATGCCACCATAACACCTCTGGTCCCTTCATCCCCCCCCCTTCTCCCGCTCGCTGGACCAGGCGCCTCAAACAATGCCACCATAACACCTCTGGTCCCTTCATCCCCCCCCTTCTCCCGCTCGCTGGACCAGGCGCTTCAAACAATGCCACCATAACACCTCTGGTCCCTTCATCCCCCCCCTTCTCCCGCTCGCTGGACCAGGCGCTTCAAACAATGCCACCATAACACCTCTGGTCCCTTCATCCCCCCCCCTTCTCCCGCTCGCTGGACCAGGCGCTTCAAACAATGCCACCATAACACCTCTGGTCCCTTCATCCCCCCCCCCTTCTCCCGCTCGCTGGACCAGGCGCTTCAAACAATGCCACCATAACACCTCTGGTCCCTTCATCCCCCCCCTTCTCCCGCTCGCTGGACCAGGCGCTTCAAACAATGCCACCATAACACCTCTGGTCCCTTCATCCCCCCCCCCCTTCTCCCGCTCGCTGGACCAGGCGCTTCAAACAATGCCACCATAACACCTCTGGTCCCTTCATCCCCCCCCCCCCCCCTTCTCCCGCTCGCTGGACCAGGCGCCTCAAACAATGCCACCATAACACCTCTGGTCCCTTCATCCCCCCCCCTTCTCCCGCTCGCTGGACCAGGCGCCTCAAACAATGCCACCATAACACCTCTGGTCCCTTCATCCCCCCCCCCTTCTCCCGCTCGCTGGACCAGGCGCCTCAAACAATGCCACCATAACACCTCTGGTCCCTTCATCCCCCCCCCCTTCTCCCGCTCGCTGGACCAGGCGCTTCAAACAATGCCACCATAACACCTCTGGTCCCTTCATCCCCCCCCCTTCTCCCGCTCGCTGGACCAGGCGCTTCAAACAATGCCACCATAACACCTCTGGTCCCTTCATCCCCCCCCCCCTTCTCCCGCTCGCTGGACCAGGCGCTTCAAACAATGCCACCATAACACCTCTGGTCCCTTCATCCCCCCCCCTTCTCCCGCTCGCTGGACCAGGCGCCTCAAACAATGCCACCATAACACCTCTGGTCCCTTCATCCCCCCCCCTTCTCCCGCTCGCCTCAAACAATGCCACCATAACACCTCTGGTCCCTTCATCCCCCCCCCCTTCTCCCGCTCGCTGGACCAGGCGCCTCAAACAATGCCACCATAACACCTCTGGTCCCTTCATCCCCCCCCCTTCTCCCG